GGAAGTTGTTGTTGTTATGGAAACAACATTACGGAGAAAACGTAATATTTTCTACATATAACGACGGATAAAGTAAAGAACAAAGTCTGAAGATATCAGTACAGTATCATAGTACTGTAACATAATTGTTTTTGGTACTTTCATTGCAGTTGTATGTCTTAAATGTAATGTAAATGTTGCCTTCGTGTGTGGTTCGGGGCCATCTTCGTGCGAAATTCACAATTCCATATTCGTGTGTCCATCGGGTGTCAATTTCGGGACAGTGTGACAGGGCCTTAATAGGGATGCACGATATTGGTTTTTTGAAACCGATACCGATAACTTCCTGCTTCTCAAGACCGATACCGATAACCGATAATAATATAATATATATATATATATATATTAAATGTACCTGTAGTTTTTGCACACCTGGTGGTAAAAAAAAAGACTAGTAGTGAGCAAATGACATGAGCATTACTACTATGAACAAAACAAAGCCAAGAACAGTTTTGACTCTTCAAAGTAACCATATTTATTTTCCCAAACAAATCTGGCAAACTTCTTGCCTTTTTCAAAAGCCTCGTCGATAGGTAAAAGCCCCGGTGCCTTTGCAGCTGGCTTTGGATTCGCCGCTAGTTTAGCAGCGCAGGCGTCTTCGTACGCTTTTAACACACCATCGTAGTGATGGCGATGTTTCAGGTGAGTAATCAGGTTGGAAGTATTATAGCTCGTTGCCTTTTTCCCTCCTCGTGGAACTTCTGCATTTGTTAATACAAATAGCAAGCGAACTATCTAACTCTGAAACTTTGAAATAGTCCCATACTACCGACGACATGTTTGTTTACTGTCCTGGCTTCACGGCCGCACACCATTTACGTCACAGCCAGGCATGAGTTAGGGAGCATTGGATTTGTGAAAAACTCCCCTCTTCCTAAACCACTAATACCACAGTACTGGCAAAACGGGAGGAGCCGAGTGAAAAACAAGCGCCCCTCATTCCAATCCACCCACACCGCAGTATGTCTTTCTTTTTTTTTACCCAAAAAATATATTGTATATTATCGGGGCAATTCATACTTTTATCGGGTTTATCGGGATGACGTCATAATTCCTAATATCGCACCGATAATTAGCGGGCCGATAATTATCGTGCACCACTAATTACTAAGGCAGTATATTTCCATATACAAAACATTACTCCCCATTCTTTCCATTGGCTGATGCCGACACATTGCAAACTAGACTTGATGACGGCAATACAGTTTTCTCTGGCTTATGTTTATCAACTATTGGCAAACTACAACATGCAAAAAATACTGCTGCTAGCATATTAACCAAAACTACAAAATGTTATCATATCACCCTTACACTTATGTCATTACATTTGCTCCCAATAGATGCTAAAGCACATTTTACCATTCTCCTTGTAACTCATACAATATTGTAAAGAATTGCACCATCTATAACCTCTAGTCGCTCGTCTTAAACCAGCTAAGGCTTTACAATCTCACTGGTCTCTTAACTATTCCAAAATTAAATTAAACATCTATAGTTGGTGGGGCCTTTTCTTAGTCCACCCTTTTGAGGCATGCTTTGTGATAAAGGGCTATTTTAAACGTGTACTTGAATGGCCAGTTCCGTTTGAACGTGCTCAGTCAGGGCTCTCTGCATCAATAAAGGTTAACATTTGAAATGTCTGTTCTACTGAGGACACAAAGTCACAGTCCTCCTTTCTCCAGTACGCAGTTTTGACGTCATACTCATCCTTTGTGGGCACAATCAGCAGATAACGATGCCATGGAAAACCCAAATGCAGTTAGTGGCAAACTGTCTTTAATTTAGAGCAGAGCTGCTGTCTTTCAGTTTGTACAAAAAAGGCATAATCTAATTTCACGTAATTGAGATGTGAACAAACTGCAGGGTGAAACAAAAGCAAACCTTCCAGTCTTTGTTTGCCCTCTGCCAGTGTGTGTGCTGGTACACAATGTTTCTGTGTTTTGAACATCTGAGAATCAAATGTCTTCACATGAATGGAAGAGTCATCTCATTTTTCGTTTTCCTAAAGAAAAGGACCTTAGTGTGCCGTGTCATCCTTCTTGCATCTTTTAATAGAAAGAATAATGGACGGATAAATACTTATGGTTCAGTATATTATTATGATTACTGGCTCTGGAGGCCAACATTACTTTATCTTAAGCATTACAATATTTCACAATGAAAAAAAGTACATTTAAGTGTGGCTTTTATTGTGAAAGGTACAAATGCAGGGTGTCAGGCTGTAAGGTGCTGCCCTGGAAAACAAATAAAGACTATTTGCTGTTTTGGTTTTGTTTGGTCTACGGCGCCTCTGTGTTTTTGTTAGGTGGACACTGTTAATAGCAAGGTGCAATAAAAGCCTCAAAATATAAGCTTTAATTAGGCAAAATATAAAACAATTATATTAATCTTGGATAAGATTAGTTCAGTTATCCAGATCTGGCCATATTAGCTGATTTAGACGAATATGCACAACCAATCAGATGACAACTGTACTGTAGGTAGCGGCGCAAGCTAACAGGGGACGTTACCATAGAAACAAAACTTAAATGGCTTAAGATGGTTCTCATCATGCTTAAATGCCAATCACTATCCTCTCACACAACAACAAATCTTGTATATTTCTGTTTACATTAGAGAAAAAGATTTGGTAAGAAATGTACTACAAACACAGGTCCTAAAAGAACATTGTACATGATACAAATGTGTGTGTATTGTACTGTATGTGCAGAGGCTGCTACAGTCCTGTCATGATGAACAATGTCATGTAAAAGAGTCGTTCCATCTGTAAAACAAACCGGTTTGTGGCCAAACTTTTCTAATTTGCAATCAGCACAATCTCATTTAACTGCGACTCCGTGAAAGACAAGCTCCTAATTCAATTCATTTCAATTTAGATTCCACAGATTAAACTCATTCTTCATGTTTTGTTCTGCCCATAATTGTGTTAGCGAAAAAAGAAAATCTCAAAGATTGTTTTTTTTCCCCCTGCAGGGAAAAGTTACTGTCAAATCCAGAGAAAAACAGTTTGAAGGGAAGATATATAAACAGGCTGACGGAGCAGAAAACTAGACGAGATGTAAACACAATAAATTGGTGACAGACAAAGAGAGGAGCAATGGAAAAGAAACAGAGGGAAGAGAAAGGACACAGAGAGTGGAAGTGAATATCAAAGAAAGAAACATTATTCCTTGTTTTTTAATGAGGACTCAAACGTCACATCTAAGTATGTAAAAAAAAATTCAACCAGTTTAAATTTCTAAAATGTCAACTTGGATGGGACTTTTAACAAACAACTGACTTTGTGCGTCATCTGTACAGCTTTGTATCCACAATGTTTGTCACACAAACGACCTATATAAAAAAAAGTGAGTTGTACACAAAGTTTTCCCCAACAGTAACAGTAACTAACCCTAAAAAATATAAGGGTATTACAGGCTATACAGTATAACGTATGATTGTTCTGTCAAAGAACTACTAGTTCCGACAGAAATGAAATAAGATGATAAACAGGTGAGAGCAGTGCTACGGCACTGCGAAATTATGGCCCTGTCCGCTCTGGTAAAAAACTAAGAACCAGAGCCAAGCGAAAAAAATGGTTTGCCTAAGAGCTGCTGTGTCGTAGTCAAAACAAAAAAAGTCAAACATCAAAAAAGATCCAAAGTTCTGATTTGAATATACTTTTAAAAAAAATGAAAAAGGACAATAAAATAAAATATCAGAATCTGTATTTACCGCCAGTGAAATCAAATTTAGCACAAATTCATAATTTGTATTCTCTGCCAGAAAAGTAAAATGCTGAATTTTGACAACGCAAATTGTTAACCCAAATACTGTATGACTCAAGTGTGCTGCTGAGTTAAAACACAAAATGTACCAAATTATAGTTCTGAAGGATTTCTTATAACCTGGAGAAATATGTTGACAATAAGACAATCCTTGATGAAAGAAAGAGTTTCATTAACGTGTATATGTTAGTTTACGGAGGAAGAAAATAAAATATTCAAATGGAATCTCTTCTTTAAAAAAGAAGAGTTAGTGTTGCTTGTAGAAGCGGAACAGAGGGAGAGGGAAAACGGGTTGACACCAGCCCACAGGGTTCCTACATTTGGGTGAATAAAAGACTTGTTCCAGTCTTGTTTTGACTGGCCCGGCTTGTCAGACTAATAAATCAGACAGCAGCAAGTTTGTAAAAAAATAAAACCTGCACGCTTACTGCATTGTTTACGTGGCAGGCCAGAAGCTTTCTTCCAGTCTAAGAGTTAAAATAATGTAGTTTTTTTTTGTCATGCAAAACAAAGCTGTTAAAGAGATGAGGGGTTTGGTTTATGCTTAGTTGTTAGTCACATTTAGATGTGAAACATTTATCTGACGATTTTGTCAGCTTATCTCAATGCAGCTAAACCAACATGAACCTTCTAGTCATGGGATTACCTCACTGTTCAGCTAGTGTAAATACTTCACTGTATTGCTTAAATACATTTTAGCCAGCAATACTCAAGGAAGGTTATTTGTTCCAGAAGTCAAAGGAGACAATGTTATGTCGTACAAGGAGATATCACACACTAAAAATGTCTCTTAAAAATAGAGTGCTATCTTTCAAATGGTGTGCTTCTGTACTTACATTTGCTGTTTTGTGTGCATTTGTGTGTCCAAATGCAAAGTATGGAAAAATGCAACAAGTACCAAGATGGTGTGTAACGTTAAACAAATTCAATGTGGAAACTTCTGGGACTCAATGATTGCCATCTTGGCTACATAACGGAAGCCCATTTGCAGTTGCATCAGTCAACACAGTGCTATAAAAATACATTCTGTTAACAGTACACAACATGAATTGTACTAAGGGAAGTAACCAAATTGAGAAACATCATAGGATAGTTTTTTTGTTGTGTTTCTCTGCCATTTTGAAAACTGAAGTTCAATAAAAATACAGGGAGAAAACAGATGGGTAAGGAGAAAGGTGAGCATAGTTCTCTTACAGTTTTCATCCTGAGCGACGCACTGCAGGGGGATTCCGAAGAAGGAAGTGTAGGAGTCATTGTACCAAACCAGCAGCTCTGTTCCTCTGGGGATATCCATACACGCTCTGTAGAAGATACAGGACCTGCAATAAAACACAAACACATTCATTTGAAAAAGTGCCACACAAATAAGGTTTCGCTACTTTTGGTATCTTATAAATATTTTGAAAATCTATATGCAGAATGCAAAAAAAATATTACAACAAATCTTAATCCAAACCTCGGAAGGTAACTTTGGGATTTTAGTCTTTGCAGACCATTAACATGCACAAAGACTTTTATAACACACTACTTTTGCATCTGAGGACCATGAATTTCGACAGCTAGCGTTAGGTCAATCTGGATAACTCACTTAATCAAAGTATGTGTCTGACGTTACCATCATCCATAAACTCTGCCTCTGACAAGGCAAAAACAAACCGCTGACAGGACTTTGTGACGCGCTGGTGACAATGTCCAGGTCTGATTTTGCAATTTTTATCAAATGATTAATGGGATTTTTATCAAATGATTAATGGGAGATATCTGGTGTCTCTCACTTTGTTCGGACAGATTAATGACCATGATGTATAGTTCAAACACGCTGCCATTTAGATGACTGGTTCCTGGGTCACTCTAACACAGAGACAACACTATATCCGTCCAAAAATATCATTCTAATAACAACATTTAAAAGATTGTTCCCACTTGTTTTTTTGTCCAAATTACAAAGTTGTCAGACTTATAGGATTCTAACTGGCCAAAGTGCCTCGTAGCCAGGAGACTAATTACTCTCAGCAGACAGCATCAGGCAACCACGTAAAATGAAAATAATTTAAATGTAATCGTTAACTGAGTTTTAATGTCAACATTATTCAAAACACATCGGTCTTCATTTGTGAGAAAGGCTCACTAATTAAGTTTGCCTTTACGTTACTAAAGCATCTCTTGATGCAATCAAAAGCCCCATGCCAGCTGTGTGACATTTAAAAAAGGGAAGATAACCCGAGGGAGCATATAAAAGAAAGTAGAAAAAGGAGGAGTAGAGAAATAAGGAAGTTATGAATAAATATGCAATTTTGGAAAATAATATAAAACAACAGTCTCTTTTTTTCCTTTATAGTTTTCCATGTAAAGTTTTCTTTTGTCGATGCTTTTAAGTGGATGTGTACTCTTCTTACGGCCCCTACACACGGCGGCGTGTGTTCAACGCTTCTGCCCATTCACTTTGAATGGGGTGACGTCACGCTTCGCCAAACTGCATTGTGGGAGCAAAGCGTAGCATTGCTCGCTTCAAAAGTAGAGCAATGTTCTACTTTTGAAGCTTCGACGGAAGCGTCAGCCAATCGAATCATATGCCAGTACAAGCTCTAGCCAATCAAACTGCTGCTTGTGTGTCCGGGGCGGGAGATGCAGGTGATTGGTGATTCAGACATACCCGCCGGCAAGCGTCAACGCACGCCACCGTGTGTAGGGGGCGTTAATGTATGTAAAAGTGTCTTTACAGTGTTGCCAGTATACCGTTTTGTTCTACGATATTATATATATAATATATTATATTTTTCAGTAAATACTTCACTGGTGAATGTTATAAAAACAGCGGTTGCTTAAATGAGACTAAACGTCATCTTTGGCTTAGCAGTGGTAATGTGCATCCATGTGACAGCCATGTAGCTTGTTTATTAGCTAGCGTTAGCTTTTCCTTCCGGAGATTGCATTTATGCTTAAAAAATAACATAGTGGTGTTAAAATGTGGAGATTATCTTGTTGAATGTTAGGTAACGCCTCTTGTTTATTTATTATCATGCTTAAATAATAAAATATTGTTTTTACCCAAGCAGGTTTTGGAGACTTGGAGCTTTTTGGGAGTATTATCCAATGAAATCCTTCTAGTTTTAAGCCAAAAGACATACATTTCCCAAACACTTAACACCCCACCAAGTCCATCTAAAGATCAATGGCAAACTTTGACATTTAAAACAATATATATTTATACATTTCAACACTAAAAGTACTCTTTCAACACAGTTACATAAAAAAAATTCCATTAATACAGATTTGGATACAACATCAGAGCGTGGAAAATGGATACGGACACAAGCTAACACAATTGTGAACACATCCATTTCCCCAAAAGTTGTTGAAAGTACTGATAAAGAACAGACTTTTTTGAGAAGTCGAAATGAACCATCCTGAAGATCTGTGTTTTCAGAGTTAGCATGTGTTTTATTAGTTCTTTCCACACCAGGGAAGGGGTGTGGTGCTGTTGGATCCATGTAAAAACACATTCAGGAGGGATCGGGCTGTAAATCAAACATACCCGATGACCTCCCAGGATGAAAAATGAGACATGTGGCGGCTTGTATGTATTTCAAACATACGTCTTTAATACATACATGCTGCTACATTCAGGCGAGGCTGTGTTATAAATCAAACACATCCAGCAGGCTCTCAGGTATGAAAAACAAAGACCCCTGCTGCCGTTCAGCAGCGCGGTTGAGTGTAAAACTGTTCGTCTGGCACATCAGCGGGACCAGTACCAACAGCGCTTTGATCTTTCCTCTGTATGTTTTCACACAAAGCAAAAATTGATTTATGATCAGCTTTTACATTATAACACAAACAAAGTGTGAGGTCATAAATGAATACATTTGATCACGTTACGGAGTAGCGATGTGTATACACGAGTGCTGTCTATCGATTATGATATGTAATCGCAATAATGTGCAATAATAATGTGCAATAATATTGTGTTAACGCAACTTAGTTTCAACAACGCTACGCACACACGCTCTGGGACCCTCGGCCTGCTCCTTAGTTTGTGAAATGAGGAAGCGATGGAAAAGTAACATTGTGGATGGCGAGCAGAAAAATCCTCAACTGGAGAAAGAACAGTTCAGCTTCAAACCCCCGCCTAATGGTTCACTCCACAACACCAACGTTTAATTTAATGTCAACGTGAATCACCCATTTCATCAACACTTCTCTAACTTCTGGTCACTTTCCAAACAGTCTCAAGGAGGCAAGAGTAAACCCTCTCCTAAAGAAACCCACTCTCAACCCGTCTGATGTTATAAACTACAGGCCTGTCTCTCTACTCCCGTTCCTGTCTAAATCACTTGAATGCGCTGTCTTTAAACAACTCTCCTGTTATCTCCATCAGAACAACCTTCTGGATCCGCACCAGTCTGGTTTCAAGGCAGGTCACTCCACAGAAACTGCCCTCCTTGCTGTCACTGAGGAACTGCACACTGCTAAAACAGCCTCCCTCTCCTCTGTCATCATCCTTTTGGACCTGTCTGCTGCATTCGACACAGTGAATCATCAGATCCTCCTTCGCACTCTCCAAGAACTTGGAGTTTCAGGCTCTGCACTTTCTCTCCTCACCTCATACCTCAAAGACCGCACCTACAGGGTTACTTGGAGAGGGTCCGAGTCCGACCCTTGTCAATTAACTACACGGGTCCCTCAGGGCTCTGTTCTTGGTCCCCTCCTCTTCTCCTTGTACACAAACTCGCTCGGATCAGTCATTAGCCCGCATGGTTTTTCATACCACTGCTACGCTGACGACACCCAATTAATTCTGTACTTCCCCCGCTCAGAGACCCAGGTCGTCGCACGCATCTCTGCTTGTCTAGCTGACATCTCTCAGTGGATGTCTGCTCATCACCTCAAGCTCAACCTTGACAAGACCGAACTGCTTTTCCTTCCGGGAAAAGATTGTCCCACTCTTGACCTAACAATCAACATTGGCACCTCTGTTGTTTCCCCGACTCAGACTGCAAGGAATCTGGGTGTGACCCTAGATAACAACCTGTCCTTCACTGCAAACATCGCTGCTACAACCCGTTGCTGCAGATACACGCTTTACAACATCAGGAGGATGCGTGCCCAGCTAACACAGAAAGCGACGCAGGTTCTGGTCCAGGCTCTCGTCATCTCACGCCTAGACTACTGAAACTCCCTCCTGGCTGGTCTACCTGCATGTGCCATCCGACCTCTGCAGCTCATCCAGAATGCAGCGGCTCGCCTGGTCTTCAACCTTCCTAAATTCTCCCACACCACTCCGCTCCTCCGCTGGCTTCCGATAACTGCTAGAATTCACTTCAAGACAATGGTACTTGCGTACCATGCTGCGAATGGATCTGGCCCTTCCTACATCCAGGACATGGTTAAACCGTACACCCCAGCACGTGCACTCCGCTCTGCATCAACCAAACGGCTCGCTGCACCCTCGCTGCGAAGGGGACCCAAGTTCCCATCAGCAAAAACACGTGGGTTTGCTATCCTGGCTCCAAAATGGTGGAATGAGCTCCCCATTGACATCAGGACAGCAGATAGCTTACACACCTTCCGGCGCAGACTGAAAACTCATCTTTTTCGACTCCACTTCGAGCGATAGAACTATTAACAAAGCACTTATATACTAATAAAGGGCTGGCTTATCTAAAGCCAGTTGAGTAGCACTTGAAATATTTTTGCTCTATGAAGCCTGATGTACTTATATGATTCTGTTTTCTTCAAGTTTGTATTTTGTTGGTCGAACGCACTTATTGTAAGTCGCTTTGGATAAAAGCGTCAGCTAAATGCAATGTAATGTAATGTAATGTAATGAGTTACAACTGAAGTACGTCAAGTATGCCACACCCTTACAGCCGATACAGAGCCAATTTTCCTTTATTTATTTATATTTGGTATTAGCCAATAATCTGAATCTATAAAGTAACTAAAGCTGTCGGATAAAGGTTGTGAAGTAAAAGGTGAGTGGACATTTTAAATGGCATGATAAAGTATCGCTAAAGTACATTTACGTCAAGATTAACTACAGTACAATTTTCCGACACACAAAATATGCGCACCGTTCAAAGGTTTTCTAGTCCCATCCCATGTAAAACACACTAATCTATTACTCTGATGCTGAATAAGCATCACAGAGCGTGTTTATTGCCCAGGCTTAGCACAAGATTCCCACAGCAATTTGTATCAAATAGAAACATTAAATAAATCAAAAGGGAATGCAGCTCAGGACTGACTGGAATTGCAAGAAGGGAGAGTACTTTTTCGGTACTTTAACTGGAAACTTGATACTGATCTGTACTGATAA